AGAAAAGGTAGCCACCTCGACGTATGAGAGAGAACCTGTCTCTTATACACATCTAGATGTGTATAAGAGACAGGAGACAAACAAAAAAAGATAGAGAGAGAGAGAGAGAGAGAGAGAGAGAGAGAGAGAGAGAGAGAGAGAGAGAGAGACAAGTTTGGTTGTCACGTATCTGTGAAGACTGTTGTGCAGTCCAGCAAAGAGGAAGGAGGCGGTCATAGCCGCAGAGCTCGACCACAGAGTGACGAAGGAGGTGAAAGAGAGGACAAAGGGAAAGATCGAAGAGAGAAGTGAAGTGGAGGAGGTGAAGGAAGAGACGAACAAAAAAAGAAAAATAAAAGAGAAAACAGACAGGGTGAAGAAGAAAGAGGCGAGGAAGGAGAAAGGAAGAAAGAAGGGTGGTGAGGAAGGAGAAGACGACAGCCATAGCTGACCGGAATAGTTGACCGGAAGGGTTGACCAGGGGCGTTGACCAGAGTTGACCGGAGTTGGTCGGGCATTGACCGAAGCTGACCTGGAGTTGACCAGGGTTGACTGCAGTGTTGACCAAGCGTTGACCAAGGCGTTGACCAAGGCGTTGACCAAGGCGTTGACCAAGGCGTTGACCAAGGCGTTGACCAAGGCGTTGACCAAGACAGTTGACCATTAATTTGACCAAGCTAGAGCCGGTATAATCTCGCCAAGCCTTCAGCCTATCCCCTCGCCCTATGGATGTGCACACACCCCATGGTACTTGCTGAGTCAAGTCTGTCTGTCTCTACTTTCTGCATCGAGTCTCTTCTGTCCAGGTGATAGGACTCTGTGGATGAAGGATAGGGCCTTGATGACCAAACCCACACGGGCTGAGTAGGGCTAAAGACTGTGTCTGACGACTCGACTATCCCGGAGGACACGAACCCTCCCAAGGACCGGTAGGCCCAAAATCCGAGCTGTGAGCTGCACAACAGGCCGTCTAAGTCTTGATAGGACCTGCTGATCGCGTCGTCCTGTTTGCGACGTTAAAGAATTCATGAGGAGTTACGGGGGATCTCCTTAAATGCCTCCTGGTCAGCAACAGGTCCTGTAGTGATATCCATAGTTTAGGTCTAGGCTAGTGACCCTAGTTGACAGGATCCTGCCCGGATTCTGTGGTCCTTAGATTGAGTCAGTAGGTTGAGTCAGTCAGGGGGAGTAGAGTAAGTGGTGAGGAGTGGAACCGTTGTTCGGTTGTGCACCAGACACCATGGTTGACACCCGTAGTGGGAAGAGTACTGCCCCCTACACCCAAGCTCAAGAGGAGCAAGCCGCCGCCATACTGAGGGAGAGAAGGGAGAAGGAGCTTCTCAAGCAAGCAAAGTTGAAGGTGATAGCGAAGGAGCAGGTGACGAAGAAGAAGAAGTTGGAGGAAGAGATGAGGAGATTAGAGCAGGAGGAGGGAGAGAAGAGGAGGGCTGCTGAAGAAGAAGCAGCAACAGAGGAGGAAGAAGTAGAATGCGTACCCCTCGACAGGAGACGCAGGGAAGCACGAGGGGAAAGCAGTGGCACGAAGGGAGAGGATGCGTGGATGGCGAAAAAGATTAGCGAGTGGGTAACTAATTTATCCCTGGGGGAGGATGAGGAGGCACTGATGTACGTGCCTCGGGAGGAGAGAGAAGCATTCGCTAGGGAGCTGGAAGCGATGGAGGACCCCCTAGACCGCCAGACAGCAGAAGATGAAAAGAGATTGGAGTGGAAGTTGCGGCTGACCAAGGAGAGGAAGAGAAGGAGGGAGGAAGCCAACCGGGTTGCTAGAGAGGTGGAGAAAGTCCGGGCTTGCAGACAAGAGGTGCAGGCACAAGCAGAGACCTCGCGAAGTTAGACAAGATTCTGGGGTACCTTGAGGTTCTGAGCGAGGCCTGGCTTGAGGAGCATCGGGCCAACAAGGGTCAAGATGTGACCCTTCATGCCATCCGGTCAAGGTTTAGAGAGTTTGCGCGCGACGTGGTGACCCACGTCGGGACCGAAGTAAAGAGACTGAAGGAAGGCGCAGAGAAGTTATGAGCCGGCGCCGTCGAGGGCGCCAAAGTAGTGGCCACAGCAGTGGCCGCGTCGCGTCCCCGCAAAGAGTCTGTTAAGCTCAAATTTCCTGACGCTTATAGCGGGAAAAAGGACGATAGTTTTGATAATTGGGTGGCTAGCATTAATACATATGTCTATTCACCACATATTGCCCAAGAGGAACCAGTCCTCGTAGCCTTCCATGCATTGAAGGACGAAGCGGCCAGCTTCGCCAGGTCCCTTGTGCGCGCCGCTGATTGCGAGCACAATATGATTGCAAGCACAATGTGAGAGGTTCGCTGACATCACAATTGGCGTCAGGGCCTCTGACAAGCTCCAAACCATCCACTCGCGACAGTGAAGGAGTGAGCGAGCACTCAAAGCTGTCATGGACGACTTGGTAGCCGTCCCCGATCACGGGGTCACTGAGACCCAGTTGGTCCAACTATTTTATCGTGCCATGCCAGAGCCCTTGCGAGAGCATTTTTTCGACAAGACCCAATAGGCCAACGTCATGTACGATGCGTTGAGTAGAGAAGTGGTCCTGTTTGAGGCCAAGTCCATGCCAGTTTCCACTTTCTGGCATAAGGACTTAGATAAGGGTAAAAAGTGTAAGGGTCGTACCATCTCTGGCCAAGTTAGGGCCAAGGATCATTTTATCCTTACAGATAAAGTCCCCTACAGTCAGATTGAGTCGGGGCTCGAGGAAGAGGACAGTAGTGTAGGCCAGGGGAGGACCTATGCTGCTGTCGCGGCTGGAGGGAGGCCGCAAGGTAGAGGAGGAGGCCAGGGCCAAAGGGGCCAGGCCACGTGTGGTCGCGGACTGGGTGCACAGGAGGTTGGCGATCAAAGGAACTGCCAAGAGGAGGTAGGGGTCAAGGTCCCCTGCTAAATCGTCAAGGTCCCAGTCGGTCCCCGCAGCGACGAGGTGGAGGATCACCTCAAAGGAGAGGAGGTTGGCACCCAGGTTGGCCACAAGGCTGGCCTTGGGAAGATTTGGGCCTGGACCAGCGAGTATGGCAACAGCGTATGGACCAGGGTCAGTGCGTTTACTGTGGTGACCCCGCCCATATTATTAACTATTGTCCTCAGTATAGACAGGCCCGATGGGCTGCCCAGGAGTCAAAAGGCAGCCGCCGGTAGGGGTCGCAACTGCCCCTACTCCTAGGCCATGTGGGGAAGCGAGGGCGCACGAACAGGAAACTCCCACACCACAAGTGCCTTCGGTAGAGGTTGCAGGCCAGTGCCTAACTAGCTGTCCAGAGACTGCTTGTGTTAGCGTCTCTCTAGGCACTTCCCTCATAGGCGTGGCAAAAGAGTTCAAGGAGAGGATGCCTGCCTGGGCCAAAATGAAGAAGGATAGTAAGGGACAACTAGTCTTAGTGGATGTAGAGGTCTTTAGAAGTAGAGTAGGGGCCCTTGTAGATTCATGGGCTACCCGCAGTTATATTAGCTGTAAAGCGCTGAAGAAGCAAGGCTAGGGTTAAAAGTCCAAAAGTTGGAAGACCCCATAGTCAGCGTCCTCGCAGACAACCGCACTATGCGTGTTAAGGACTACGTAAAGGGAGTCCAGGCGTACTTTCGCCTAGAGAAAGATGGGAAGGTGGAGAAAGTTCTCCATTCCCTGACTCTCCTCGTACAGGATGACCTTCCTTTTGACACAGTCCTAAGCATGGACTGGGGAGAGGGAGCAGAGGCCACACTTCATTTGAGAGAGCATGAGCGTAGGCTCCCTAGTCCATCAGGTGAGGTTAAGACTGCCCGCCTGTTTCATGTGTCTGGAGTAGATAACTCCTTGGCGCATTGCTGTTTCAGTGCTCCCGTGTTCGCCATTAGTGAGAAACGAGCAGTTAGAAGATCAGGTCTTTGTAGCGTATGTGAGGCCTGTCACCGAGCCTAAGGAAGAGAATAGTCCCATGGATCCAACCATTGCCAAGCTGCTGGAAGAGTTTAAAGATTTGACAGAGCAGCCGACAGGAGTAGTGTCGTGGCCAATCCAGCATCGTATAGAGATAGAGTCTGGCAGTAGGACTCCTAAGGGAGCAGTCTACAGGATGTCCCCAAGGGAGTTAGAAGAGCTGCGTAAGCAGTTAGACAAGCTCCTAGAAAAGGGTTGGATTAGGCCCAATTCATCTCCTTTTGGAGCACCAGTTTTGTTTGTCCCCAAAAAGGAAGGAGAATTCTGTATGTGTATAGACTATAGGGGTCTAAATGTGATCACAGTAAAGAACGTTGAGCCACTGCCCAGGATAGACGATCTCCTAGATCGGGTGCAGGGCTGCAGATATTTTTCAAAGATCGATTTATAGTCCGGATATCATCAGATAGAGGTCCATCCTGATGACCAGTACAAGACTGTGTTCCGAACTAGATATGGGCATTATGAGTTTATAATGATGCCCTTTGGACTAACAAACGCGCCTGCCACATTCCAGCGTTGTATGAATGACCTGTTTAGGCCGTGGCTAGATAGGTTTGTCGTAGTGTATTTAGACGACATCTTAGTGTTCAGTAGGACCCTCCAAGAGCATCAGGGTCATTTGAGGCAGGTCTTGGAGAAGCTAAGAGAGGCTAACTTTAAGATCAATGCGAAGAGGTGCGAGTGGGCCAAGACACAAGTCCTGTACTTGGGCCACGTCTTAGACGGAGATGGCATTAAGCCTGAGGACAGTAAGATAGCGGCGATCAGAGATTGGCCGATGCCCCGCACATTGACTGAATTGCGGTCGTTTTTAGGCTTGGCTAACTACTAGAGGAAGTTCGTGAGAAACTTCTCGACTATCTCCACCCCACTTCACAAGTTGCTAAAAAATGAGGCAATCTCGCAATTGGATAAAGACTGTACGCATGCGCTAAAGAAGTTAAGCGCGCATTGATATAATATCATGTCCTCAAAGTCGCAAATCCGTCCTTGCCATCTGTCGTCACCACGGACGCGAGTCAGTATGGGATAGGCGCCGTATTACAGCAGGACTGCGGCAATGGCTATAGACCCGTAGAGTTTATGTCAGCGAGGATGCCCTCAGAAAAGGTAGCCACCTCGACGTATGAGAGAGAACTCTACGCTCTCAGGCAGGCCTTAGAGCACTGGAAGCATTACCTGCTTGGGAGGCACTTCAAGGTGTATTCAGACCACGAGACTCTTAGGTGGCTGAAGACACAGGCCAAAATGACACCTAAGTTGACTAGGTGGGCCGCTGAGATAGTATGACTTTGAGCTCAAGCCTGTTAAAGGCAAGTACAATGTAGTCGCGGACGCTCTAAGTAGGAGATCAGACTACTTTGGAGCTACAGTTCACTATCTGGATATAGGGAGTGACCTACAGGAGAAAGTTAGACAGGTGTATGAGCAGGACCCTATTTATAGTGACCTCCTCAAAAGAGTTAAGGAGGGCCCAGAGACCGAACCAGATTACCGCACTACAAAGGGGTTGTTATTTGAGAAAACTAATGTAGTAGACCGTCTGTGCGTTCCTAACAGCGAGGAGATCTGTAGTTTGATCTTAGGGGAATGCCACGACACAGAGGGACATTTCGATTGGCAAAAGACTCTAATCTGATGCATGCGTACACTTGGCCAGAAATGAAAGTTGATTGCATAAAGTATGTCCGCAATTGCAAAGTATGCCAGAGAAACAAGAGTACTACGCGTCCCCTCTAGGCCTTCTCAGACCCTTGCCTATTCCTGATCAGCCAGGAGATTCAGTGTCCATTGACTTTATGGACGCCGGCATCAAGAGTAGGCATGGTAAGAGCCAAGTCATGGTCATAGTTGATAAATTTAGTAAGTATGCTGTTTTTGTTCCTTTGCCTGCAGAGGCACGCACTGAGTTAGTTATTCATAAGTTTTTTTTTATTTTTGGGTTAGTGAACATGGAGTCCGATTGTCTATAGTTAGAGATAGAGACACCAGTCAGAACTGGCAGGAGCTAATGAAAGTCTACGGATCAAAGTTGTTGATGTCGTCTGGCCGCCATCCAGAGACTAACGGTCAGACTGAACAGATGAACAAGATCCTGCAACAAGTTCTGCGCATGTACATTAGACCAGATCAAGTCAACTGGGACGAGATGTTGCCCAAGGTAGCCAGTACGTACAATAACAGTGTGCACTTGTCCACCTGTCGCACTCCCAACGAGTTGCACAAGTCCTTTAGACCGCGTAGACCCTTTGAGGGACTTAACCGGGATCAGATTCACAGGCTAGGGAGTTTGCGATACAGCAAGAGAAAGAGCTAGCTACAGTCGTGGAGAACCTCAGAAAGGCCCAACATAGAATGATAGAGCAAGCCAACAAGCACCGTCACCCATCGCAATTCCAAGTAGGCGACTTAGTCTGGGTCAAGTCCAAAGAGTTTGCTCCTAAGGAAAACATCTCGCAGAAGTTACTGCCAGTGTACAAGGGACCATGGCCAGTTCTAGAAGTCAAGGGCGGAGAGGATGGGCCGTCCTACACAGTAGAGATCCCAATACACCTCCACACCTGCCCGATGTTCCATGCATCAAAGTTGTGGCCGTGTGTCACAAGTCAACAATTTCCATCTAGAAGGTCCATTACCCCTTCGGACATGGACGAAAGATACAACATTGACGACATTGTAGGTGAAGACGTGTTCAGAACATGAGGTAGAGATCGTCGACAGAAGCAATATAAGGTCTGGTTTGCTTATCAGGAACCGGAGTACAATCGCTGGTTTACCAAAGCAGAACTTCTAGAAACCGCTCCCGACATACTTGGAGCCTACGAAAGGGATAAGAAAGGTAAAGGTCCTGCCTTGGACTGAGTTATTCTCGGGGGACCTCGAATTTAGACCGGCGGGAGTGAAACGGTATTCACCTGTTCGCAGTAGCGAGTGCAGATCCCAGTGCTCGATCCCTAGACTTAACCTTTC